AAAAATTAAAGCAAAAAAGTTAAAGAGCTAAGAGTCATTTAATCTACTGATATGGTTTGGCTGTGCCCACACCCAAATCTCATCTTAAATTGTAGCTCCGATTGTTCCCATGTGTTGTGGGTGGGACCGGGGGAGGTAATTGAGTTGTGGGAGCAGTTTCCTCTGCACTGTTCACTTGGAAGTGAATAAGTCTTATGAGATCTGATGGTTTTATGTGGGGTTTCCCCTTCAGATTGGCTCTCATTCTCTCTTGCCTGTCACCATGTTAGACGTGACTTTCACTTTCTGCCATGATTTCGAGGCCTCCCCAGTCCTGTGGAGCTGAGTCCATTAAACCTCTTTTTCTTTATAAACGACCCAGTCTCAGGTATGTCTTTATCAGGTATGTCTTTATCAGTCCAGAGAATGGACTAATACATCTACAAAGGGAATATTATATAGCCATTAACTATTATTAGAAACACTTAACATATCTCAATAGAAGTATCTCCTAGAAGTTACTAAGTTTAAAAATCCAAGCTCAGAATTTAAATCTAGTATACGACTATTTATATAAGAAAAATAATAAAAATGTGTGTGTGTGTGTGTGTGTGTGTGTGTGTGTGTGTACTTGGAATGCCACCTAAGACATTATTTGCCTCATGAAAAGGAAATCAAGTGTTTGAGGAACATTGGCAGGATATTATCTTGTTGTATCTCTTAAATTTTGAACAATGAGGATATACAGGGGATTCTAAAAGTAACTACAAATTAAAATTTAAATCTAAAAATAATTACATCTGAAAAGAATAACTGGAGGTAGAAAGAAACAGGCTCTTGTTTTTAATTTTAAAACCCTAGAATTTGATTTTTTAATTCTGTTCATGTATCACACACACACACACACACACACACACACACACACACACACACACATACACACTGACTGAACTGTTTGCCCACCATTGTTTGCCTGATTCTTATTCAATTTTCAAGATTCTGGTGAACACAACTTATCTGTGAAACTTGTCCTAACCCCAGCTAAGGTCTCTGTAGCATGAGTCAGTTCTCCTATGGTATTCTAGAACACCATTGATCCATCACTATTATAGAATTTTCTTTCACATACTAGCATTTAATTATATGCCTGCCTACTCCACTAGACTGAGTGAAACTTTAGGTGACACAAAAATGATTCCTCTTTGTGTTTTCAGAATTTCAATGCACTCTTTCCACTTCAGTTCTGCCTGTTATTGAATGAACTGCTTTCAGCACTAATAGGGTCAGCCTATTCCCTACTCAAGACAAACAACCCTAGAACCCATGGAGGTGGTGGGATGTGTCTGAGAGCAGGTAAAAGAGAAATAGGAATCACCTTGCAGGTCAGAGAACAGTACAATAGAGTGAGTTTAAGCTAGGATAGAAGTGATGATAGTTAACATTCTTTCTACCATTCCTCCATTACTTCTTAAGATGCCCGTGGAATAACTTGTTCACAGTTTGGAGACATAACATCAGTGGTTATAAAATATATGTTACTAAAAAAGTGGTGGATGAGTGCAGAAAGACAAAGAAGTCCCTAAGGAAAGATCAGAGATTTTATGTGTTTGGGGACATAGATGGAAAGGATACATTATTATAAGTTGTTCGGGGTCAAAAATGGGGAACCAGGTGAAAAGTTAAGATCATATCAGTTGAAACTGATGATCAGAAATATAAGGATTGCCAATGAAAATTCCTTTAATGAAGTCTGAACTAATTCCATCTGCCTTTGAAACAACAATTGTAGGTTATTGTGATGAGTAGTCATCCCCTGGTAGAAATTCATGAATTCTAACAGTCTGGGGTCTTAGCTCATCAATATTCTTTTTCCATTCTACAATCTCCTCTTCGTCACTGGTTGCTTTCCCAAGACCTATGTAAAAAGGCTCAGCTTGTTTTATCCTAAAAATGAAACATATTTCCCTGTTTATGATATCCACTTCATGGGTTTTTTTTAAAAAATTAAACCATAACTTACCTTTACTTTCATCAACAAACTTCTCAACAGGCTAGTTAACATACCCACCTCCACCCTTCCTTTTTTAGCCCTTTACCTTCTTGCTCCATGCCCTGCCTCTGTGCTTTGTTTATGGTCTTCCTTTTGCTTAGAGTGCCTTTCCCACCTTTTTCTGCCTGATCCAATCCACATGTCCTTTAATGCTCAACTCAAGAAGAACCTCCTTCAAGATACCATCTATAACAAACTCCTTCCTCAACATTTCACAGCTGTGTATTTGACTTCTGCAACCAGACACAGGTGGCTCTGGAGCTTAGTGTAGATTTATGTGTTCTGCCATCACATGCATCTTATAATGCTGATACTCTTTCATTTTCCTTTCCCAACACCAGGCTATAAACTTGAGAAGAGGAATGGGATATTTGTCACCATTGTATCGCTAGTGCCTAGCATAGTTTCTATAACGAACTGGATAGTAAATCAATGTGTATTAAACTAATGAAAAACAAATAAACTACATCTCAAGCACTGATCTTTCTTCTGGTTTGTAGTCATGCATTTATATCCACCCTGTCTGGGAACCAAGGTTCAGCACACAAATTCTAGAGACGAACTTCTTGGAATTAATCCCAGATCTATCTCTTCCTAGTTTTGTCATCTTGACAACTTAAACCCTATGTGTCTCAGCTTTTTTGCCTACAAAACAAGGATGATGTTAGTACCAACTCAAAGGCTTTTTATGAAGATTATATGAGTTCATTGTTTAAAAAGGTCTTAGAAAAGAAACTAGCAAGCAGTAGTAAGAAGACAGTAAGTACTATGAAGGTGCTAAAACACAGTTAAGACCACATGAAGAGTCCACTGCTAGCTCAAATTTTACATGTTCTAAACTGAACTCTTAAACATACTCCTCCACCTTATTTGCTTGTAACAGGTAATGGCAGCTGATATAGGTAAAGTTGGGTCATCACTACCTCCTTCTCAAATTTATATGTTGAATTCCTGACATCCAATACCTTAGAAAATGACCTTATTGGGATATAAGGTCTTTACAGAGGTAATCAAACTAAAATGAGGTCATTAGGGTGAACCCTCATCCAAATGACTCATGTCCTTATAGAAGAGAGAAATTTGGATACACAGACATACAGGGAGAGAAGAAAATGTGAATAGACATTGGAAAAAGACAGCCATCTACAAGCCAAGGAGGGAAGCTTAGAACATTCCTTCCCACACAGCACTCAGAGGAAACCAACCCTGCCAATATCTTGATTTTAGATTTCCAGCCTCCAGAACTATGAGATGCAAACTTTCTGATGTTTAAGGCTATGGAAGCTCTAGCAAAGGAATATACTAGAATTATCTCTGCTATAATGAACTAACCAAGATGGGTAATTTATAAAACAAAGCAGTTTAATTTCCTCACAGTTCCACATGGCTGAGGAGGCTTCAGGAAACTTACAGTCATGGTGGAAAAAGAAGCAACACCTTCTTCACAAGGCAGCAGGAGAAGCGAGAGCACAGGGGAAACTGCCACGTTCAAATGATCAGATCTCGTGAGAACCCTTCACAAACATGAGAGCAGCGTGGGGGAAACCGCCCCCATGATCCACTCAACTGCCACCACCAGGTCCCTCCCTCAACAGGTGGGGATTACCATTCAAGATAAGATTTGGGTGGGGGCACAGGGCCAAACCATATCAAGACCACATCTCTTTTGTTAATTCCTAACCCACGACACAAAGTCCAGTTCAAATATGCAGGCTTAGTGAAGTTTTCTCTGATCTCCTCTAACAAAATGGCCACAGATGCTTCAATCTCATCTACTGCAATTGTAACATCTTAATTTATATTACAGTCTCTCTGTACTTGCTTTCCATCTTACAGATTTATGGTTCTTGAAGGAAAGAACCAACTTATTTAAAAATGGAAATACTTTATATTATGAAAAATATCTAGAAGTTCAATAAGATTCTCGAAGTCACTTGCTGAACTCAAAAAATAAAAATTTTATACTTGTTTTTAAGCATAATGAAGTTTCATATTAAAATTAAAAAAAGGTATTTCTGACAGTTTTCCACAAGTTTTACCATTCTTAGTAATTTATATTCTGCCTTAAGTTCTTTGATACTAACTATATTGTGAGTGTCAAAGAACTTCTAACATGTTCCTAATTTGGAAGATTTATGGCAGTACTTCAGGAGCTAACAGAAGCATAACAGTGAAACGAGGCAAAAAAAAAAGTATTAAATAAATTCCCCCAAATTTAAAATATTTTTAAAACTCCCATGTGAAAGTATATAATGTCATGACCAGTTCTATCCCTATGTAACATTAAAAACTGGAAGTGAGGCAAAATGACTGACAATAAACTTTTACAAGGCAGGCATTTTAGAACACAGAGATGTTATACCAATCACTAGAAAGTCTTACTTGTGTTTTTACAAAGTTTCAGAGCTTCTAACTATATGAACAGATACAACTAAAAATTTGAGGATGCAGCATCATAAAATGTACAGTGGTCATCACTTTGCAGAGTTTCAGACACTTTCAATTATTTGTCTTGGTACAGAGTTCACAGAGCAGAAGCAAATCTATATATATTTTTGTAACAGTAATCATGTTTAGGAAATAACATGATTCAAGTAAATATTTTTTCCAAAAGTAGAATTTTAACTTACAAAAAATATTAAGGTTTAGTTAGAGAGCTTTGCACATGTGAATTTATTCTTGATCTTGCCAGATTTATTCAAGTCAACAGCACTTTTAAACTTCTATAAGACTTCTTAAAATTGTTCTATGTGCCTAAATATATACAAATACAAACGTTCTCAGCAATTAACTGGACAGTAAGGGTAAATGAGATGAGCAAATGATTCACTATGCTACCTCCAATAGCGTTAACGAGAGTTGTGGAGTTAATTCTCTCCCACTGCTCTTAATTTTCATTTCCTCTGTAAGGTCTATTCCAAAGCTTTTAATTTTTTCACACAACTCTCACCCCAAGACAATTTTCACTTACCTCAGTAATGAAGGATTTGGCTGTGGCAGGATTCATAATAAGGATTGCTCGCCTAAGAGTGTCTCGATAACGATTCAGTTCTTCTATTCTCATGGTGTCAAAGAGAGTGGTGATCATTTTGTTGATGTTGTTTTCTACCTTCTGAAGTGCAACATCCATTCCCTGCTGAGAAACTTTGTCCAAGAACTCCTGTATTCCACGGATATCTGGAAACAACAAAAGCCCATCAAAAATGTGAATTATTGTACAGAAGCAAGGCATGAGCTATTTCAATGATATCAGAATAGATTATTGTTCCACATTGTAAACTGTCTAAAATTACCAGTAGAACTGACAGAAATCTCAAATACATTTAAGGTTTAGTACATTTTGATGTGTTTACATAAGAAATGTAGGAATTGTTATTGTTTTTTTATTAATTTACTTTTTGAGGTGGAGTTTTGCTCTGTCACCCAAGCTGGAGAGCAGGAGCATGATCTCTGCTCGCTGCAACCTCTGCCTCCATAGTTCAAGTGATTCTTCTGCCTCTGCCTCCCTAATAGCTGAGACTACAGGCAGTCACTACCATGCCTGGCTAATTTTGTATTTTTAGTAGAGACAGGGTTTCACCGTGTTGGCCAGGATGGTCTCGATCTCTTGACCTTGTAATCCACCCCCCTCGGCCTCCCAAAGTGCTGACATTACAGGCATGAGCCACCATGCCCAGCACAGAATTATTATTTTTAAAATAGATTTCTTTCTATCTACATGGAAACTAAATGATCTCAATGCTAGAAATGTTGGGTCAGGGTACAGGGAGGAAGTTGGAGAAATGCCTCATTTCTCTAGAGCAAAACATGAGAAGAAGGGAAATACATTCTCTATTTTCCTAAGCATTTTAAAGGGTAATATTAACCTCGTGAAAGCATGAATATCATTTATGACAGATGAACCTGAATCAAGATTATGAATGTTTCATAAATTAGGCAACAGTATCACTAAACTTGACTTTTATCAGGTAAATAGAAAGTTTCAAAAGGTTATCTCCAAAGGGCCTCAGGTCACTTAGACCACAAACAAAAGCTGCATTTTAATCTATTTTATGAGTATTAGCTCCTTAGCTAAATTTGGAAAACTTGGTAGGAGATACAAAGTTTGCCTTAGTAAGGAAAAAATACTTAATGTGCAAAACATATTTTTTTCAAAACATATTCAGCATTTTAGAAAATGTTAAGCAACATTTTTGAATGTATGATGATCAGCCAAATGTTTACATACTCATTCCAAAATAAGCAAAGTTCTACAAATTTATCAAATTAAAGAGTCCAGTGTCCATGTCACATTTAAATAAGAAAAGTAAAATTCAGTCTAAAGAGTGTATCATTTGTAGTTTGATGTGTATTTAAGTAATGTTAAGTGTCTGAAATATCACAAATATTTCTTCTTAGTATCAGATTGCTTGTTTATGGAAGAAGATATCTGAAATAAGTATCTGGTACAATATAATCAATATAGATTACATTATAATCCTAATATAGTAGATTTGCTTTTACCATATCACAAACTATATTTTTCATTACATATCCAAAGAATAAAATATTTGAAGGGCAAATACTAGAGAAAGATAAGAAGTAAATGGGATTGTAGGGAACTTATGAATTGACTAGATCTTAAAATCCTTAACTGTGTGTGCTTGCTTACATACAAAATTTGCCTCTCAATGGCAATAGTTAATTTACGTATTTTTCAGCATCCGAAAAGAAAAAGCAGTAAGTAAACCCACAAAACAGGAAAACAAATAACCAAAAATTTGGAAAATACATTTATTCTTAAACATTTATATTTGCAATGTTACAAATTGACTACAATAACAATTTTGCTTTCTTCTTCTGATTGCTTTCATTTTAAAATAGTCGTAAAGATTGTATGTTTACTTATGCGATATCTCTCAAAATCTGTACAACATATATACTGTATAAATTCTATCTTACATTTCTTATTATGAATTATATTGTAAACCCAGGATATTACCATCAAACCAGGTCAAAAAAGAATAAAATCTTCAGCTACAACAGAGAATGAGATAAAAGACCGGGAATAATAAAGGTGCTATATATTCATTCGATATCCACGTCAGAATGTACATAAGGGTGTAAGACCCTGAAGCATGAATTAATCAAAGGATTAAATTTGGTGGAATTTGGTCAACACAGGTAGGAGTACAATAACAAGACTATGTGCATGCTAAATGTTCTTAAACTTTGATGTGAACCAGAATCATTTAGGGAATTTATCAAAAATGCACAAGCTTGGGCCACATTCCAGAAGCAATATATCTTTAGTAAACATGTCAGAGGCTAGGCGCGGTGGCTCATGTCTATAATCCCAGCACTTTGGGAGTCCTAGGTGGGGGGATCACGAGGTCAAGAGATTGAGGCTATCCTGGACAACATGGTGAAACCCTATCTCTACTAAAAATATAAAAATTAGCTGGGTATGGTTGCACATGCCTGTGGTCCCAGCTACTTGGAGGCTGAGACAGAAGAATAGCTTGAACCCGGGAGACGGAAGTTGCAGTGCATAGAGATCATGCCACTGCACTCCAACCTGGGTGACAGAACAAGACTGCATCTCAAAAAAAAAAAAAAAAAAAAAAAGAACATGAGCAGATTATTGATTTCAAATTATAAATTGCTGTTCTTTGAGTTACAGTGTATATCTAAATATAGGCAAACAAAAGTTACACTGAAATAGATCTAAGATGCTCACAAAACAGAGCATGGCTAGAGAATAAAGCTCCAGGTTACTTATCCTTTATGAAATTTTCTGCTTACAAAAATAAAATACCAGTGCTAGTTTACATCTTCACTGTGAGCAAAAGCTTTTTCTCCAAAAACATTTGTTGAATATTAAGACACAATGCTAGAAGCTAGAAGCACATCAATGAATACCCATCCACACATTAAAACAGACAATAAACAAGTAAACAAACTAAAAAATACAAAGCACACTAAGATCTTGGAATAAAACAATGAGTGCATTGATAGATGATAATAGAGTGAGGAGGAGGATCTATTTTAGTTAGAGGCAGACCTCTTTGCAAAACCAGTATTTAAACTCTGAGGTAAAGGATAAGAAGACATTATCCAAAGAGATTAGGAGAAAAGACAACAGCTCAGAAAATTCCCAGTGCAGTAAGGCCTGTGGATGAAAAACCTATAGAAGGCCAGTGTGGTTGCAGCCTAGCTAGTGAGACATGAAGCTAGATGGAGAGGAAGAGTCAAGTTATGTAGATCTCTGTGAGACACAGAAAGAGGTTTGAATTTTATTCTAAATACAGCTTTAATCTATTGAAAGTTTTAAGCAGAGGGTCTGCCTTAAGTGGATGACAGGATATGTGAGCAGAAGGAAAAGTATTAAGTCTGAAAGTGATGTGTTTGATTGTATGTTTTAAATTGAGGCTGGATGTGGTTCGTGTCTGTAATCCCAGCACTTTGGGAGGCAGAGGCAGGTGGATCACTTGAGGCCGGGAGTTCAAGATCAGCTTGACCAACATGGTAAACCTCATCTCTACTAAAAATACTGAAAATTACCCAGGCATGGTGGTGCAGGCTTGTAATCCCAGCTACTCGGGAGGTTGAGGCATGAGAATTACTTGAACCTGGGAGGTAGAGGTTGCATTGAGCCAAGATCACACCACTGCATTCCAACATGGGTGACAGAGTGAGATGCCATCTCAAAAAACAAATGAATAAAATGATCTAGTAAATTAATTCTCCTTAATTTAAAACTATATAACAATTTTAGCTTTAATTTTTTATCAGAGTGGTACATATACTGAAAAATGACATGAAAAAAGACCACTATAACCTCTGTGTTTCCTTACACTGGAATTCTGGTTGTCACTTTTTAGATATGTGATTGTAAAAATTTCTTGAAAATTTTTCCTCATCTGTAAATGAATTATTTATTTATTTATTTTTGAGATGGGGTCCTACTCTATTACCCAGATTAGAGTATAGTGGCCTGATCTCAGCTTATCTACCTTCCAGGCTCAAGCGATCCTCCCACATCAGCCTCCTGAGTAGCTGGGACTGCAGGTGCACATCTCCATGCCAGGCTAAGTTATTTTTGGTAGAGACAGGGTTTGCCATGTTGGCCAGGCTGGTTTGAACTTCTGAGCTCAGGGGATCCACCTGCCGTGGCCTCCCAAAGTGCTAGGATTACAGGTGTAACCTACCACTCCCAGCAAAAAATATTTATCTTACAGAAATCTTCAAAAATTTAATTAGCAAAAGTGTCTGTGTGTGTTTGCTGTGTATATACAAGATCTAGTGTAGAGTCTAACATGGTAGTTCCTTTATTGTTAGTAATAGAATACGACTATTTGTTAAGAGACCACGCTTCTTCCCCCCACTAGGCCAGATTGCCTAAATTTTAATGATGGCTAGCTACCCAACACGGCAAACATGAAATATAAGGTAGACTCTTGGAATGCAAGTGTTAAGCATATATAGTTTTGCTTATTTGAGTAAATGACACCAAATACCCACAATATGTGGCAATTGGTAAGTTTAGTGAGAGAAGGTTCTGAGTCATGCTGTTTATGAGGTGCTCTGTGTAAAAGAGCCATTAAAAAAGAGAGTAGACTGGGCACGGTGGTTCACACTTGTAATCCCAACATTTTGGGAGGCCGAGGTGGGCAGATTGCCTGAGGTCAGGAGTTTGAGACCAGCCTGGCTAACACTGTGAAATCCCATCTCTATCAAAAATACAAAAAAATATTAGCTGGGTATGGTGGTGCACACCTGCATTCCCAGCTACTTGGGAGTCTGAGGCAGGAGAATCACTTCAACCCAGGAGGCAGAGGTTGCATCGAGCCGAGATCGTGCCACTGCACTCCAGGCTGGGTGACAGAGGGAGATGCCACCTCAAAAGAAAAATTAAAAAAAAAAAAAAAAGAAAGAGACTAGGCCTTTGGTTTTGTTCATTGAACATGAATATCATAGCCCATCACAATCATTCAGCTACATTAGCTCTATGCTGATTAGCTGGCAGTCAATGAGATGAGTTCCCTGTGTTTCAGAAATAAGAAAGATATGCTTCCTGACCTCAAGGTGTTTCCACGTGAGTGGATGTGACTAGGTGCTATTTATGGATAACAGAAAGCTAAAAGAAGTTTCAGTAGTTCCCAGTAATTAATTCTACTTACCAGATAATTATGTAA